ATCACCATTTTTAACTAAAATGTTTTGAATATAATGAAGCTGTGGGTTGTTTTAAAAAATTAAAACACAGGTAACCAACAAATAGTCCATTTCAGACCAAAAAAGCTTTTCAGCTAGAGAAACATCTCAGTGGGTAAAGGGCTTGCCACACAAGAGTGTAAGGATCAGAGTTCATATCCTTGTGCCCACAGAAATGGCAAAGTGGCTGACTAGTTAGACTACCAGACTCTGGGAGCTCTGTGTTCCAGAGAGAGACCTTGGCTCAATGTATACAGCGATTGAGGAAGCCTTTGCTAGATAGCACCCTCTATCCTCCACATGTATGTGCACACACATGCCCACACACAGGCAAACACACACACATACACACACACTAATACACCTGCACATGTATTTTAAAAAGAATTAAAGGTTTACCCCCATCCCACCCCACCCCCAAGATCCTAATTTTCTCCCCGGCAATTGGGTCTACTTCCCTTAGCCAAGAGGATAACTATATGTTTTTCCTTGGGTTCACCTTCTTACTTAGCTTCTTTAGGTTCACCTATTGTAGACTCCGTGGCGCTAATTTATGGCTAGAAACCAATTATGAGCGAGTACATCCCATGTTCATCTTTTTGGGTCTGGGACACCTCACTCAGGATAGTGTTTTCTATTTCCATCCATTTGCCTGCAAAATTCGAGAAGTCATTGTTTTTTACCGCAGCGTAGTACTCTAGCGTGTATATATTCCATACTTTCTTCATCCATTCTTCCATTGAAGGGCATCTAGGTTGTTTCTAGGACTTACCACAGGGCAGGGAACCTGGACTGCTCTGTGGACTGGAGAGGGAGGGGGAGAGGAGTGGGGGGAGGGGTAGAAGGGTGGGAGGAGGGGGAGAAGGGTGGGAGGAGGGGGAGGGAAATGGGAGGCTGGGAGGAGGTGGAAACTTGTTTTTTGTTTATGTTTTTTTTTCTTCTTTTCTTAATAAAAAAAAAATTATTTAAAAAAAAACAAAAAAAAACAAAAAACAAAAAAAAAAAAAAAAAAGAATTAAAGGTTTTCTTTTTGCTGTCAGTTGTAACGTACGCAGATGTCTATATGGGTCAACCCAGAAGCTAGAATGCAGGAGCAAAACACAAAAGCTAGGATAAGGAAAGAGAAAAGGGAACATATCAGCACCCCCTTTAAACAGCAACAGTGGCATATCTTGTTTCAGTAGTTAGAAATGCAAAAATGTTAGTGATTAGTTTAAATGGTTGCTGGTTTGCTTCTCCTAATGTCTTATGCTTACCTGTTTGTTTTTTTTTTTTAACTCCAATCTCTTTTTTTTTAATTTTTATCTTTTTAATACTTTTCTTTTTTTTTAATTTATTTATTTATTAAAGATTTCTGTCTCAGATCTTCACCAACCACGCAACTGACAAAGGTCTGATCTCCAAAATATATAAAGAACTCAAGAAACTAGACCGTAAAAGGCTAACCAACCCAATTATAAAATGGGGCATTGAGCTGAACAGAGAATTCTCAACAGAAGAACTTCAAATGGCCAAAAGACACTTAAGGTCATGCTCAACTTCCTTAGCGATCAGGGAAATGCAAATCAAGACAACTTTAAGATACCATCTTACACCTGTCAGAATGGCGAAAATCAAAAACACCAATGATAGCCTTTGTTGGAAAGGTTGTGGAGAAAGGGGTACACTCATCCATTGCTGGTGGGAATGCAAACTTGTGCAACCACTATGGAAAGCAGTATGGCGGTTTCTCAGGAAATTCGGGATCAACTTACCCCTGGACCCCGCAATACCACTCTTGGGAATATACCCAAGAGAGGCCTTATCATACAACAAAAGTGTATGCTCTACTATGTTCATAGCAGCATTGTTTGTAACTCCAATCTCTTAAGAGAATGCTTCTTCCTCATTCTCTTCCTCATCTATCTTCTCTCTTTATCTCTGAATAAATCTGGAATTAAACAGAGCTGGTTTGTAGCATCTGTGCATCATTGTTTTAGCATTAGCTTCCTTCTTCCGCACACCAAAAGACCCACCTTGGTTTAGGTCTTGGGGTAAAGCGTCACCTAACTGCCTTCCTGCCAACCTGTGTTCTTTTGAATGACTGTTCTGCCACTTGATGGCATTCTTCCAAGGCTTTGACTGCTTAAAATATTTACAGCATGTCTTCGCCTTGAGTAATTGACTTTGTTCTTTGTGTGTTGCTCAGATGTGACAGTTGGAACAGTTGGGATGGAGGAGGAGTGGATATGGGAGCTGGCAAGTATATATCTTAATTAAGGGAGCCATTTTAGGCTTGGCAAGAGACTTGACTCTAGAGGGGTTCCCAGGTGTCCAAGGAGATGTCCCTTGCTAGTTCCTTGGGCAGCTGATGAGAGGGAGCCTGAAATGGCCCTGTCCTATAGCCACACTGATGAATATCTTGCATATCACCATCTGGCGACGGATGGAGATAGAAACAGAGACTCACATTGGAGCACCGGACTGAGTTCCCAAGGTCCAAATGAGGAGCAGAAGGAGGGAGAACATGAGCAAGGAAGTCAGGACCGCAAGGGATGCGCCCACCCACTGAGACGTTGGGGCTAAAAGTAATTTTTGTTCCAAGACAATGACTTTGAGGTTATTATATAGCAGTAAATAACATACAAAAGTACTCGCTGTAGCTGCACATCACCATGAGTGTGCCTATAATCCCAGTAGCCGGGAAGATTGAGAGTCTGAGGCTATACTAGGTCTCATCGTGAGTTCAACTTATAAAGTGTTCCACTCCAGGAAACATATATATTCGTGCACAGAAATGGTATGTGTCCAGAATAGAGGCTTGGCTGGAGTATTAATGGGTAAATGCTTTGCCTATAGGAGCCATTTAAGCCAGTTATGGAAATGACTGTGTTAAATAGGAATAATGTGCAGTTCTAGGAAGATGGAAGTTGCAGTTTCTTTTTATAGTGTTTGAACTGTATGATTATATATGGCTGAGTATTTTTAAAACATGAGACATGATAATTAACATTCAGAGAAGAGTCAATAATGTGATCCATCTATTCACTTAAATGAAGCCTTTTGAAGACAACTTTTACACTAGAAAAAGTGAAACATGGCCAAGACTTGAGAATTCTCCAATATTTTGGCAATACTTTATCTAGGAAATCAATCAGGTGATTTGATACAGGCAGGGAAGTTGTAAGGAGGCAGCTATTTTCCCAATTTCATGGCCAAGCCATTAGTATTCAGCTCCATAAATTTTACTACTTTTTGTCTTCTTGTTTCTTCCTCATTCTCTTTGATTTTCAACCCACTTTTGCATATACCTCCGCTTCTGCCTTTTTCACTTCCAAATTTCCCCTGGCCTCTCAAAAGTGAATACTCTGACTTCTCCTTTGATATCCCATTAGTATGTGTCCTTTTGTGAGCATATGTATATATAGTCTTTCTATGACCATGTCTTTATAAATATGTACATTATGAGTCTGTGTTATCCAAAGTCATGTGTTCCAGTTAGGCTCAAACTGGGCAAAAACTCCCCTTCACACTTCCGCTCTCAATGTGCAGAGCTGACGGGGAAATAAAGTTATACTAGTATAACAGCCAATGTCTTCTACAAAACTGTAGTCTCTAACCTCATAGAGATGGTTGTCACCACAGTCCTGTTACACTGACATAATCATCACCCCCACTTATTCTATTAAGCCCTCATTGTTCATTTCCAGAATTTTCTTTCTGTTTTCATCAGTAATCAGTATCTCCTACTCCATGGGGAAAACTGAATCTAGCTGCCATTATTTCTGACAATTATCTTCCTCCACACCTATGAAATTGTTCACAGCTGTCTCCACCTTTACTCTTTCCTGTTAGTCCCCTAGGAAAACTTGTCTAGTCATTGTTTCCAGAGATTATTCTACAAACCTTGCGGTGACATCATCCTTTGATATCTTATTTCCAAAAGTATCGTCTTTCTTCCTAAATTTTTTTTAATCTTTCCATGATCTCCTTTTCTATGATCCATAGATATATTCACGTCTTCTATTTGAGTCATCCCCCAGTGGCTACAGCCCTTCTTCCTTTGCTGGGTGAGCTTTCAGAGCTTTCATGTAACAGCCTGTCTTTGCTTTTCAGTTTTTTTAATATTCTGGTTATGCTTCATCCTGCTTGGACAACCGTTAAAAACTGTACCAAAATGGTTGACATTCCCTCTGTCAACTAAATATTCACCTTTCACTTCAATCCCATTTGTATGTGTGTGTTTATGTGTTGTTGTTTTTGTTTGTGTTGTTGTTTGGCTACAGGGTCCTGCTATGTAGCAGCATTGACTGGTCTAAAACTTCCTATGTCGACCAGACTTACCTCGAACTCATCGAGATTCACCTGCCCCTGCCTCCCAAGAGCTGAGTCTAAAGGCCTGCGCCACCACCATGCTGGACTACTTCAACTTTCTTTAACTCATCACCTCGCCCCATTAATTACTCCCTGCTTGAAGTCCTCACACTGTTCTCCGACAGCAAGTCTTCTTGATCCATCTTTTACTTCTCTGACTTCTTTCGCAGATTCTTTTCAAATGTTTTATTTTATGTGATGCCTTCGTCTTGGTTTATCCCCTTTCAACCCCTGTTTTTGGTATTGCTTCGTCTATTTCACTGATTCTCAACCTTTCTAATGTTGTGACTCTTGAATACAAATCCTCATGTTGTCTTTACATAGTAGATAATTCATTCACAAATTTTATGCAAGAAGATAAGTGTATTCAGATGGGTGTTCCTTATCTTTTGTGTAACCTGTAACTCACCCAGCCAAGGATCTGCGTTAAAATTCATGCTGTGCTGTGTTTAACCTCAAATTCTTGGCAGTCTGTGTGTCTCTCACCCCAATGCTTGTTTCTAAACATGACTACCAGAACGGCTAGGTCACAAACACATGCTGTTCTTTGCAGCCAGAATATTCTCGATAATAATTACACTTCTCTTTCTTTTTTTTTTTTTCTTTCTCTTCCCCTTGCCTCTCCTTAGGTTAGAAAGACTGGTGGATGTCCTGAGGAAGAAGGTTGGAACCGGGGCCCTGAGGACAGTGATCTGACTGAAAAACACCCAGTCTGGGGCGAGCAATCACATCTGGTGGCCAGGCTGCTTCATTCAGCACTGTGCAAACACTGAAAGCCTTAACTTAGCAAACAGTTGTTAGAAGTGGGACACTCCAAGCACATTCCAAGCTGAGATAAGATCAAATCACAAATGTTTAACCACTTTGCTGCTGGCTTCAGTTATTCATCCAAATATATTAACTACAGGCTTTTACCAATTATAACATTGCAGCTTCTTTTGTAGCTATTTTATATTTGCGCCTTTAATGTAATTCTTTTTTGCCGGTGTACTAGAAAAATGTGTGAAGTCGGTCAGGATCGTACCCTCACATATGGCCCTTTCTGAATCAAAGTGCAGCAAAGTCAATATTGTCTAAGCCTTAATCCACTGTGTTAGGTCAAAACTTCAAACAAATGCATTTTCAGTATAGAGTATATTTCTTAACTGATGGAGAAGCTCAGACATGAGAGAATGTAGCCTACCTTCAATGTACGTATGCAGCTTTTGTTCTTAATATTGAGTGATATTAAGTATAGATGCCATGAATAAAGTGTTTTATTTGCTTTGATAGTACATTAAGATGACAATCACCAAGGTATGATTTTTGTTTTTAATATATGCTGTTTTCAATTAAAAAGTTATTAATGTGTGCTTACACATACATATTATTGGTATTTTTTTTAATGTTGAGTCTTAGCATATGCCAGTCAGCATGCCTATCCTAAAAGGCAAGAAGACATCAAACCTGCTAGCATTCTTACTATTTTTCAGATTATGATTTTTGGTGTGGTGGAAGAAAACCTAATATAAAATACACAAAAATATAGTGTCCAAATATGAGGACTTGGAAAAAAGCATTATTGCAATTTGGTTCAAGTTATCCACTTTTGAATTTAAGACATAAAATAATGAAAGCATAGAAGCCACTTCTCATCATAGATGTTATGAATATTTATGGAGAATATTGCCAATTTTACAGATTGGATAGCTGAAAGGCCATACCTGGAATAGGATGAAATGACCCAAAAAATATTGTTATTGAAAATTTTATAGGCAAAAACTTTTCCAAGTTCCTAATTTATCTATAAGAGTGAGCTAAATTACTTATCATTACCTATTTTCAGGATAAATATATTCAGAATAATAGGCTATACTGTTGTTTCATATAGCATTGGGAAATATCCATTTTATTTATCTTTGAACATTGCAGAATATTTAAGGCCATTTGTCATAGATGAAATAAGAATCAGGATACTAACCACAATTTCGTTTTCACTAAATCTGTAAAATGAATCTAGAATCATCTCACTGCATTCAAATTTGAAATTCACTCATGTTACATGTTCTTAGTGGTTTTTAAACTGTGAGAATTAGAAGATAAATGATAGCAGGTATTATAAATAAGCTAACTGCATCTGTCTCTGCCATGGAAGAGCATCATAGCCTCTGACAGAGCAGTGACTACTTAGACACAGAAGCTAGTGCTTTAGTTGCTTCCTTGGGCTCTGTGTGAAGACACAGCATCTTGAAAGTTACCCAGGGGATGCAGGTAAGTAAAGAAAACATCCATTGCTGTCTGCTTCTGGTCTTGAGAAATAGACACTTTCCTTAAGTTATTTACTATTAAGTCTTAGAATACACAGGCTGAAATAAAATCTTTTACAACTTCCAGACATCACTCAGAGCAACCAGTTTCTGGACAGTTTAAACACGGCAAGGTATTACACAATGAAACTCATAGAACAATTCCAACACCCACTATTTTTCAGTATAGGTACCCCAAACATTTAAAACCAGGCCAGTCAACTTCTGTCTTGATTTCTCACACTCGAAAATGCCCAACAACGGTCTTCCAAGCCGTACTGTTTGGTGTGAAGGAGTAACCACTGAAAGCCACGTTGCCACTTGCTGGAAAGCAGCGCGACTGTTGAGAACTGCACTCTGCACAGTGTGTCTGCAGGTCTGCTGCGAGCATGACCAAGTCTGTTCCTGTGGTACCATGAGAGCTAGCTCCCTTCTTACAAGCTAAACAAGTCTTCAAAGACCAGTTACTGTTGGTTGTAACACTTGATCCGCAAAATCATCATTTCACATCTTTTTTTAAATTCTGCCAACAGCCACATGTTAACTATTACAGCTTCTAATATTGGTTTTATTTTTATGGTGATTGTTATTACATGATTATGATGAGGAAACAAATGAAGAGCCTCCTGGAGCATTCCAAGGACTGAGGTCTTAGAACTAACACCCATTAAATTATAGGTCTCTTAGTAAAAACATAGTAAATATTTTTATTTTTCATTTTATCAATTATTCATTAATTCTTTGTTAATTTCCTACAATGTATTTTAATCATATTTACCCCTAACTCCTCCAAGATCTTCCCCCACATCCCTCCCTGCTCCAACTTTGCATCCTTTTTTCTTTTTAATTTAATATCCCAGTAATGGTGCCCACATAACTACTCATGTGGAGCCATCCACTGGAGCATAGCAAAGATTTCAGTGTGTGCACTAGAGAGATACTTCAGTGGTCAACTCAGTGGTCTTGAAGAAAACCTAAGGTTGATTCCCAACACCCAAGTCAGGGGCCTCACAACTGCCTATTCTCCAGCCGGGGGATCCAGTACACTCCAACCTCCATAAGCATCTCTGTGTACAGAAGATACACACAACTCAATTAGGCGCACACACAACCATAAATAGAAAACAAATAAGTAGGTGGACTGGAGAGATGACTCAGAGTCTAAGAGCACTGAGTTCAGTTCCCAGAAAGTGTGTGGTGGCTCACACCATCAAGAATGAGATCTGATGTCCTCTTCTATCATGCAGGCAGACATGCAGACAGAATATTGTATACATGATAAATAAATAAATCTTTTCTTAGAAAATTGTTTTCTGACCTTTATATATTTACTGTCGCATATGCATATTATGTGCAAAATAAATGTGATTTCAAAAAATATATTCTATAAATTAATCAAGTAAATAGGGCAGCAGTTAGAAATGGTGAACTAAAAGATGCATTTTTAACTTCTGTCATCTTTGCTACTATTGTTCCATTTCCTCCTGACGCATATGCACAAATGCTTTAGTAATCTAAAGGTGATGTGCATCTCTTTTTGTGTAGTGCAACATGAACGAAACACACAAATACCTTGACATTAGCGTCATCTTTGCACACTTAAACATAGGCAGGAGTTATTCTGAACTGCTTTTAACTTGGTCTGTTGCCAAACACCGAACACTGCAGTGTTGGGAAATGGTGGACTGTATTTCTACGCACACTAAGCTTCCTTCAGCACATGTTTGATAAAAACAGTTACAGGCAAAGTAATGGGTACAAGCAACCCACGAGCATTACAACAAAATCAATGATTAATATATACTAACTTTGATTTTGATAAATAAGCCATTATGCTTAAGGTAATTAAAATAGTAAAAGTACTTCATGAAATAAGTATTTTAAGCGTCTATTTTGTGTATTTCGTTACCCAAGTAAACTGAAGAATCTTCTTATTGGGTCCCTTACTAATAAAGTTTTTATTTCACAAACACACACTCACACACACAAACAGGTTTTTTAAATGTAACTTTAATGTGAAAAGGGCGGCATAGAAATCCACTTCTTGAAGTTTCCACCTTCAAATGATGATTACACATAAGGCATATGATGAAATAATCGTGAACATCTGTCACGATTATTTCATGATATGCCTTATGAGTAAAAACCCAAGAAACTGTTTGAATGATACACTGATTTTTCCACAGAAAATAATGTGTTCTTGCTAAGTCATTTACAGCTAACCTCTGTATTCGCGTATTGCATGCATAAACACAAATGCACACAAAAGTACATTTGCCTCTTTAAAATTCATCTGTTTAGTCGGTTGTTAGGCTCCGGCAAGTTCAGCATTTTGCGCATGTTTTATTGGAAGTGCATGTGGTTTCTGGGGTTTTTAAACAAATACATGAAATGGTTGAAAGATTTATATTGCCCATGCTTAGCTAAATATGTCATCTCCAGAAAAGATGTGATTTATTTTGGCACTGTTCTAAAACTCAAATATTTTAAACATTTGTTGAGTTGGAGCTTGCACATTTGAACTAGTAGCATACGTTCCAAACGAGCATCTCAAGTTACCAAACGTTCTGTAATCCTTTTACTGAAATAGCCCTTACTGAAAAGCTTTTCTCTTTCACTGTGTTCTTTAGCATGAGTTTAAATTTATAAAGGTTGGGGTTGTTTTTAATGTAAATCTTCATAAATAGAGTTTGACAATGATAAATGTGTATTTTTAAGAATCATTAAAATGATTTTTACTAATGAGAATCCTTTGCAAAAGCCATAATACACTCGCTCTTGATTCTGTTGTTTTCTAATATGCCACCAGTTTCATTATCCAGTTATTAACAAGGAATATTTTAGTGCACCAACTCAAGTATGTAAAACTTGTATTTACTTTTTATTCACATAAAATCTCATATCTCAAATCCTACATGTTTCAATACAGTTCCTACATGTTGATCTTAATCAAATTTATAAGTGTACAATCCTGAAGACATTGTACTAGATGTACGTTATGAAATATATTGCAGTGAAGATCAAGTTGCTATCAAACTATTTATTATTTCCTTAATAAATATAAAAATTGACATGAACAAACATGTCATGTACAAGTCTCTCAAAACTATTTGGATCTAAGCCGGGCAGTGGTGGCTCACGCCTTAATCCCAGCACTCGAAAAGCAGAGGCAGGTGGATCTCTCTGAGTTCAAGGCCAGCCTGGTCTACAGGAGCTAGTTCCAGGACAGGCTCCAAAGCTACAGAGAAATCCTGTTGCTAAAAATCAAAAAACAACAACAAAAAAACTAAACAAAACTATTTGGATCTGAACTAATGTTCATCCCTGCTCAGAGAGTCTCTCTACAGCTGGTGCATTGACTGGGCCACCATGGTACCTGAGATCCCACGGCAAGCCTTTTCCACCAGGCGGTGATGCCCAATAACTCTTCTGTGGGCCAACAGTTATGCTCTTGAATTGCTCTCATCAAGTGTCTTGTTTGATTCTTTGGCAAAATCTGGTCAGTATATATGAACTTTAATGCATTTTTTTCTTAAAAACTTACTTTTTTTCTAGATGACCCCAGCTAAGACTTCTAGCAATAGTGGACACATAGCCTGAAGTCACTAGGAAAATAATAATGGGTTTTGAGAGACGGCTCTGTAGGTAATGTGTAAACATGAGGACTTGAGTTCAGAAGTCTGTCCCAGAGTGCATCTGGAGTGACGTGGACACAGGAAGATACTTCGCTGCTCGCTGTCCATTCACACAGTCTAATCAAAACAGTGAGCTATAGGTTCGGTGAAAGACCTTGACTCAAAACTAGTTTTTAAAGGTAGAGAAATGAACGATTCAGACAGTTTAATGTAAGCCGCTGGCCTTCCCACATGCCTCCGAGGATGAGTACACATGCAAGCGCACATGCATATACAAACAAGACATGGGGGTAGGAGGGGAAAGAACATGGCAAACAAACAAACAAACAAACAAACAAATTCCGGTGAGGGTATCCATTGCTGACGGATGATGGGAATGTAAAGTAGTCCAGCCATTGTGGACGTCGGTATGGGGATTTCTCCAAATGTGTCTTCCATATGACC